TTTTTGACTAGCTTATCAAGAACTTCACTGGGTAATACAATAGAATCTTTATATTCTTCAAGTTTTTTCATAATATGTTTTTCATCAACTGTAGGTTTATACATTACATGTTTTGTTGGATCTAATTTTTGAGATGAGAATTCCAAAGATAAACTAATTTCAGATTGTAAGTCTCTAGTCTCTTTGATTTCCATATCTTTAGTGAGTTCTGAAGCCTACACAAAACTACTGATTATTTTTTCTATTATAGTAGCTTCTCTTATCCACTTCTTATTTTTCACTTTTATAGGTATTATATCTAGTTTACCTTGTTCTACCTTAACTTGTGAAGTAGTATTATGAATATCTTGTTCAACAATAGCATCTATTCTTTTACTTCCTAATTCATAACAGATAAGCATCTATCAGTAACCATTGTCTGTTAGTTGTATAGTTTCTGCAAATAATGTATGAAATTCTGGTTGTTGACTACTAAATCCTAATTTGAGTTCAGAAATTAATTCCTAAAGGATATCTTGATAATCATTAACAGAGCGAGGATTTCTACTTATTGACTGATCTTCAAAAAACTCCAAAATCAATAAATTAAGTCGATTATATTTTGCCTATACTGCTTTTATATTTAGTTTCAGATTTTCTAAATCTGTTGTCTGACTAGTCATATTCTGTTTCAGAAACTTCATACTAAATGTTTCTAAAGCCTTATCAAATGCAAAGTAATATCTTTCCTGAGTTAAATTAATTGATAGCACTGATTGAAGATCTTGAAGAAATTAGAAGTTACTTTGAAGATCTGATAAGAATCATGTTACAGACTCAGCATATCTTTTTTTTTCTGTTATTGGAAATATAAATACAAATACCTTTAAGCTATAAATTTGTAAATCAAAATTTGCTAACTTAATACCAAACTTATGCAATTTCAGGTATTCTGCTCACTGATAAAAATTATACCATACATTTAGAAGATTGTTATTTTTTTTGAGAATATTTTCGAACAAAATATTTTTTTTATGAATATATTGATGGATTGTAACTCCTACTGCTATCCAAATAAGTTCAAGTACTCAAAATATTGCCTAATAGTCAGCAACCTGCTTGAGTTTATCAAGAAATTTAGTGCCAAGCTATGTAGCAAGTCCAAAAAGTCTGTATCACAAAAAAGTAGCAATTAGTGTACTGCACATTGCTTTGTTAGTGTGCTATTGTTCTAAAATATAATACACTATTTGCTCTTTACTCATGTAGTCTTTCATCTGATGATAAATTACTTTATCACATACCAAATTTAATATACCATCCTCTATATAACTAAAATCATCAAGAAACATATCAACAACCTTATGAATATGCTTATTTTTGCTTAGTACTTCTCCAGGTTCAAGAATTATAATATTTGGAGGAACAATAAACAAGGTTGAGTTAATATCCTTTTTAATAGCTATATTAACATGTTTAACACCAAACGTTAACTCTTAGCTAATTAATTGGCTAAAAACTGTGTTAATTTTTGTTTGCTATTTTTTTATAAAAGAACTTATTCTGAAAAGATTGTTATTTTCTACTAGCTCATCTAAACTAGTAGATTCCAAACGTTAAGACTAAAAGACCATTCTCAATGTGATATATACAGTAACATGAGTTATATCAAAAAT